TTGACTGATAAATTAATGGTAGAAATGGAGGTGAAAATCCCCCTTACGTTTTCATTGTTGCTGGACTTTGAGCTGTATTTCTGCTTTTTGTAGCTGCACTGCCAATGCTCGTACCAGTCTTTGATTGCAGGACCCTTGGGGAGTTATGTCATCCACCTCGCCCTTATGGTGTGACGATGGCAGATGGCAGTGAAACACAGAAGAAAATGTAATGGTGCATTGCAAGCGAGTGTAATTTATCTAGCGCTAGGGCAAAAAATATGTTGTGCGCTGTTTCCTTGCATAAATGTGCAGATCACAGTAAAATTCTGTTTTTATAGACACCGAGTCTGGCTGTAATATACCTCGCTAGGCAGTTTTTCTTAATTAGTTGTGTTGAGACCACATTGAGATTGGGTACATACAAGCGTGTTGAATAGATCTACAGCAAATAAACTTTTATTGAAGTACTGTCTGTGGTAGCAGTGGGGAATTATACTCTGAATATAGTCTGTAAATGCTTGCAGTTAAGGTGAGCGTGCAGAATAGGCAAGTCTATGTATCAATTGAGTTTTACAGATACGGACAAGCTCTTGTGCAGGTTTGTTTTGGAAAGTCTTAGTTTTATTAAAAGTGCAAAATATAACTTTCACTTAAATTCAAATTATGTGATCAAATCAATTAAGGTCTTTTGCATTAGAAAAGGAAACAAGGAAATCTCAGGGGAGGAGGGGAAGCTAAAGAACGAAAACAAATCATTAAAATTTATAAAAGCAATAACCTGTAAAAGCAAATTAAAAAGTATATTCTCTTTTTTTACTTAATGGATGTACAAGATTTGGCAATAAAGATTAGAATTAAGTTTTCTTGTTCTGATATTTTAGACTTCCTGATGTGTAAGTGGAAAGGAATGAGACATGCAGTAGCACACAAAAAAGCTGGTTTTATTTAAAAAATACTTTTCTAGCATGAAATATGGTTTCAAGAGCTATTTCAGTAAAAGTTTGAAATGAGAAGCTGGTTTTGAGTTTTTATCCATGACCTCAAAGGCAGCTGTAGACTTTTCTCCATAGAAAGGAGGGGAAGAAGGAAATTCTAGGCGGTAATTTAGAGCCTCTGCCTTATTATACTCAACGATATTTTTTCTTTGACCATAATACAGTTGTTTGGTTTTTTTTCCCTACGAACACAATTTTCTATGACCCTAATACGAACCAAACATAGTCCCGTTTAATAATTTGACTGTGTCCATTCTGCCTCGATCAGGGAGACAGTCTTCTGTGGCTCCCAGCAGTAATGTGTCTATAGAGTATTTGTTTACCATTATGGTTTGGGTGTTCTCTTCATGACCATTTCACATTTCTTTTGAGGATGGGGATTGAAAAATGAAAGGCTGAAAAAGACCTCTTTTAAACTACTGTACTTCCTCAGAAGTTCCAGGGACTGTTACTTCAGCAGGAAGGAGGTACGGATTTGGAGATGAAGACTATGCTGAGAGCCGTTGTTCCCCAAGGCAAACCTCTGTCTCAGTAACGTGGAGTGGACGGACAAGACTCCAGCCTCCCTCCCGCAGCTGGGCAGCACAGGCACCAAAGGCCACTGGGGCTATAATTAATTTCTCTGAAGCTGATCCCTTTAACAGTCTCTTCAGGATTTTCTGTAAAAAATGAAATGTAGTGAAATTTCCTCAACTCTGCTTGCATCTTTAAAGTAAAGCTTTTTTTTTAACTGAAAACATTAATGATGAATGAATAATGTACAGTCCAAAACACTCTTGAATTTAGAATGAGAGCAGGTTCGGGGCTTCCAGGTGTCATTAAAATGAGAGTTATGTTACAATAACACAACCTTCTCTCCTGCTGAGTGCAAGGTTTCACATTTGGTCAAGATCTAGTTCAACTGGCTGAAGATTTGAATTTTTAAATTCATGAACAGACCTTTTAAGATTAAAAATAGAAGCCTGCATGCTTATTGTTTCTTGGCTGTACCTACTCTTGCTCTTTTGGCAGCCCGAGGGTACTCGATGGCGGTGAAACCACCATCCAATCTTACATGAGAAAGAACAAAACTAGTAATTTATTACTTTAAGCTTTACTTAACTAAAGACAAAAATAACATTATTTTTCTACTTTGCTATCTGCAGCAAAGAACAACATTACGAAAGCACTACCTAAGATTTTTTTTTTTTAATTTTGTAAAGACTTTTTAGAGTCTTTTATCTCAAAAAATGATCACATTTACAGATGCTCAATATCGATGAATCTAAGTGTGGATACAAAAGAAGCACCATTATTTTAGAAGTTTGTAACAACAGTCTTAGAAGAACAGATGCTTTGTGAATCGTGTCGTGACAGCCCTGTCTGAGCAGCAATGGCTTGGCAGCTACGAGTGCTTAAACACCAGAAGAGGCTGAACACGGGTGCTTTTTACAAAGAACTGTTGCAACCTCTGCTAATGTTCAGAGTTCATCTAACTAAACGTGGAGCTGGCATTTCGTGCAGGGAGATGTTTCCAGCCTCGGTTCTGCATTGAGTAGTCGCATCTGTGGTTACGGTTTGGGCAGGTGCTGCAGTGGATGGTGAGCTGCTGCCATTTGAAGGTAACGTCTGGAAGTGTGAATGAGTTCAGAGCCCAGATTCAAGCAGGGTTGAAAACTTGGCCCCAAAAATGTCTTTTAGAAATTAGAGATCGCAATTTAATTCATACTTACTAAAACTTTTTTTGGCAATGGTTACTTTTTTTCCCTGTAAGGGCCCTTTGTCTTACAGTTGCCATACATTTATTTTCAACATACCTCTCACTAGAAGTTAAAAGTGTAACTTTGAAGTATTCTATACTGAAAGGGGACACAGTGTGGCAATGGATTAATGTCTTTCAGGGGAATTTAGTAGAAAAGAGAGGCTACGAACCCATGGGGATATTTGTTATGGATGACTGACTACAGGATGGTTGTACGAGGGCTAAGGAAATCTGCTGCCTTCTGCAATCGAAGTCGGAAGGTACAGATTTACTGTAGATTTGACTTAACTTTTACAGTGCTGTGGGTGGATAATAACTGCGTTGATTGTTATCCTCTGCTGGAACAGAACTTTCTGAAGAACACTAAATCTGCTCAGGAACACAAAAGATCAATGTAGCAAAAGCACTAATTTTTTTAGTACCTAGTGTGGATTACACCTATTCTTGATGGTGGGTACTTAGAAAAATGACTGAAAAGAAAATGAAAACCTGCATATGCTTAGTGTGTGCCAAATAACTACCATCAGCTATCAGACTTTCTGAACTTACGAGAATAGCAATCTTGAATTTTACCTAGTTATGTCAAATGTGGAAAAAAAGTAAAAATATGTCATGCTGAAAAAACATGTAACATTTATTTCAGAACATCATTATCTCGATCAGCTTTATTTAGGGAATTTGGCAATGACAATGAAGATGAAATAATGTATTTTGACAGTATGCGCAGAGGATTTGAAGAAAAAATAATGGGATTGCACAGAAATTCTCTTCTGAGTAGTGCCAGTATGCGTTTATGTAAACTGTGTTGCTTCTGAATGTATTATTAGAATTTCTTCTTTGCAAATATATCTTACTGTACTTTTTGTACCTTATTTATCAGGGAAGGTAAAAGCTTCTAATCATTATTAGAAAATAAGTTTAAATATCAGTAGATTATTACAGTCTCTAACTATTTCCCGTGAAATATTCTGTGAAACCCGTCTTTTTTCTACATACCTTATTCATTCGATGCTGATAACACCAACGTGCAGTGACTATCTGGTGTTTCCTTGTCTGTGTGGAAGAAGTTGGCCCGTTACTTGTGTGAGGTTGTAAGGACCTTTTGAAAGGAATATGTTTGGCTTTTAATGTTTAACTATGGATTAAAAAAAAAAATCTTCTGCCATCTTAGAAAAAATTAACTCAGTGGGGCCCAATTTGTTGAGAACCTGTTGTTACCTCAGCTTTATTAAGTAATCTAAGGAGCATTACTGGTTAGGACAAGGAAAAGTAAGAAGGGGAGGAAAAAAAACCTTTAAAAAAATTTAAAAAAAAAAAAGATTGTTCCAGGTCAGGGATGCAGAAAGGAGCAACGCAATCTGATGTCTGTCCAGGCTTTATCAATGAACGCACTATAAATATTTTTGAAGCATTGTAAGGGAATCACGCAGGCATACCTTGTTCAAGATTTTCAGAAGTAACTACTTATTGTGAGTGTTTCAATTTTGGAATGTTTTAGATGAAAAAAAATTAAGGGAATATGATTTTCAGAAAATGCTGAAGAGTCATATGGAAAATGTAATGTCTTAAATTGTCATAATTTTGAGGTCCTAAAATCACCCATTTTTTCAAAAAATACTCATTTTTGTAATTTTGTAGCTGGATTGATAGCCATCCCCTGGATTTCTGAACACTGGTAATGTTTTCCATCTGTTTCTGCAGCTTGGGCAGTGCCCAGAAGGTACACAGCTGGAATCTGATGCAGTTTAATACCTGCATAGCAAATTGCTGACCTCTTCCTAGGGTACAATAGCCAAAGGTCCATATAAAAAGAACCGCGCAGGCTCAGGGCGACTGCGCGGTGTTGCAGTGTCCAGGCATCCACTCTCACCTTCTTGGGGTGGTAAACCCAAGATTTTGATAAAGGAGAGGTTTAGTATAAAACAAAAATTTTAAAACTTACAGGAAAATGTTATGATTGTGCCCAGCTCCCAGCCATTTCAAGGGGAGTTATGAGTTAACGGTAGCTCTCACAATTAACCTGGTAATGGTGCAGCATCTCTTTGTCAATCGTATGTATAGGCATTATGTTTGGCATCAGAGAATGGTCTGCTTGTTATCCTTTTAAATACTCCTGTAACATGATTTCTGCTTTAGGGAACCTTAGTATTTGTTCTTGATTTTTCACTATTGTAAAGATCTCATAATGTTTCATAACTTAAAAAAAAAAATCCAGAAAGACAGCATATTGAATCTTGTAAGAATAAGGTTAACATAAGATACAATTATTTTATGTGCTACAGGTGTCAGACTTTGGAGCATGTGTCAGAAGCAAACGAAGAGCTGTTGGACGCAGGGCCGGCAGACAGGCGGGAATACGGTACCACCAAAAGTCCGGAGGCTGGCCTCCCCTCCCTTTGTCTCAAGCAAGTGTTTCCCAAGTACGCGAAGCAGTTTAACTATCTGCGACTTGTGGACAGAGTGGCTGCACTGTTTATCCGATTTCTTGGCGTAAAAGGGACAACAAAGTTGGGGCCAACAGGTTTCCGAACATTTGTAAGGTTAGTAAGGTGAATTTCTTTAGGAATTGCTTAAAGCGTAGTCAAGAAGTTAGAAACTCCCGATCCTACGGGGTAGCACGGCTGTCCCTGTGCTTATCTTAAGTTTTGTTGAATAAAAGCAGGCCCTAACAGTGGTGCGCTTTCAGCTGGTAGGTTTAGTAATGCTTTTTAAAGAAACTTTTCCCCGTAAGTTCCATTGAACCATTGCATATTTTTTTATAAAATAGATACATTTTTATCATTCCAAGCTCCCAAAATACCTGACCTATGAAACTGTGTCTAGTAGGAACCTGGGTCTTCATCGTACAGCAGATCAGTGATACTTCGGGAGACGCTATTTGCAGTCTTAGTCAACATGTCGTGTTCCTAGTAAATTGTGAGAAAGTGACAACCAAAATTGGGTCACTTGAGATCGGATTCTGCTGGCAGTGGGGGCACAGCCATCTGCCCCAGGCCACAGGAAAGGATTTCCAAATGCCAGTTGCTGATGCATTGTGCGCTAAGGATTTGCATTGTGAAATTGCAACTTGCAATGGCAAGGAACTCAATTTATTTTTTCACATGCTTCTTATTTGTGAGGTTTTTTCGTTGTTTTTTATGGATATATCTGTTCTAGTCATGGTACGAATATCTCATTTTCTGTCTTTCATTGACAATGACAAAAGAAATAAGCAGCAGCAGCAGATGTACTCTTAAAATATAGACCCTGTTTCTATGCAGCTGCATTTAGCATTCAGGAAAGAATATAAATAATTTGATTTATACAAATTACAATATATAGAAAACGACTGAAAGCATCTGCTCAATCCACAGACCAGTACAGGATTGTTTCCAGTTCTGTATTTTCTATTGTTTAGTCCAGCCTTGATTTGGCACTTGTCAGAGGAACACAGAATAAATGCCAACATTTTCTTTTAAGAATATTAAAATAAATTGTCATATCCCAATGAAGTAGTGTTTGCAGTTTCCTAATGCATGTTAAATTAAACGTTTTAATATTGGCAAATATTTTGTTTATTTTTCCCCAGAGGATCTATACCAACTGTATGGTCCTTTTCTGAAATGCTGTTATTACTACTCATTTCAGAAATAAGGTCATGTTTCAAAGATGTGTGCTGTATCACTTTTCAAGAATAAAATGGTACACAAGTGTGATTGTGTGTGTGTGCGCGCACATGCATGTGTGCGCGCACTTGCATGTGGGCAAGTGGTTGCAGAGACTATGCACTCAAATTTTAGCTAATCAGAATCTGTTCCCCTTCAATAATTTCTTCATTCTAAAAAATAACTAAAAGGGAAATGCCGAACGTGGCTCTAGTCCTTGCTTGGATGCTGCCTAAGATTTTTTTTTTTGGCACTGTCTAGGCCAGACCTTAACTCTCCGTTTTAAGGGAGCTGTGCTTAGGCTACCAAAGAGTAAGATTCTTTTAAATTATCCGGTTTTTTTGGTTGGGTTTTTTTTTGGTTGGGGTTTTTTTGGGGGTTTTGGTGGGTTTTTTTTTCTTTTCTGGCTAGAAATTTTGGCCAGTGGTTGGGGTTTTTTTTTTGGTTGGGGTTTTTTGGGGGGTTTTGGTGGGTTGTTTTCTTTTCTGGCTAGAAATTTTGGCCAGCTCTTTGGTATGTGCCCTAGTTCCAGCCAGGCTGCCAGACATCTGGAAATCCTGGACAGATGGCTAATTCTTATATACTGATCAACACTACACTGCAGGCTCAGACCACACAAGTGTCAGATCTCCTACATGTGCTTATCACCAAATGCCCGAGATGCATCCAGAGATGCTGCTGTTTTCCATGCAGTGTTCAGTAATGCACAGGGTAAATCTGTTTAGTGTTCAGGCACGAAGAAGTAATTCCGTGCCTGAAAGCTTTCCTCCAACCTTTTTCAAACAGGATCAGTCAGTCAAATAGAAGAGTATTCTCTGTGCAGACTCTGCCTCATGTAGATAGATAGTCTGTGCAGATGTGTGTTGGGTTTCACAATGTTTCACAGTTGATTCCATTCTGTTACGGCCTCAGAAAGAGTACTAGCAATAGCCTGGGAGAAAGCTGTGTGTAACGGTCTACTCGTATTTTTAATTGAAATATTCAGGGTTTTCTTTTTTTTTTTTTACTGCTTTGTTGCAAAACCAAAATAAACCAGTTAATCTGTAACCTGACCTGCTGCCTTTTGTGGCTAGACATTGACATGAGATTGCACGTGCAAATCGGATTTAGATGCATGCATCGAAGTGGGCCATTCCTCCTGCCCAGAGCCCCTTCTGGCAGAGGTGGTGCCTGCATGATCTGAACAGGCAGCAGGACTAGGTACATACACGGGATGTTCTGCACGTGAAAAATTCGGGGCCTTTACCATTTCGGATACATACACTTAATGAACAGTGGTTTGTTTGCTGTCTGCTGTATGTGTTGTATTAGACTAAGCATGTTACAGTGGATGTGTAAGTATGACATGGGTAAACTTTTCTCCCAATGTTCTCTCAGTTGCCCTTGCAGAATTTTTCCTAACTTGGAAGTTTGGATGTAATCAGAATTTTTTCTTTATTTTGTCTATTTTTAACAGAAACTGCAAACTGAGTAACAGCAATTTTTCAATGGCTTCTGTAGATATCTTATATATTGATATCACAAGAAGGTGGAACAGCATGGGAATCGACCACAAAGAATCAGGTAACACTATTTTGTATTTGAAGGCTATGGAAGCTGGTTTTTTGTAGTTTTGGTAGCTCAAGCACACCTCAAACATTCAGTAAAAATACTGTGAGCAAGGCATGTACATCTGAGGCGTGTACATGTACAACAAATTCTTCTGTTTAGTTCCATGGCAGTTTCCCTTTATCTATAGAATAGATCACTCTTAGTTTTCAATTTATGTATCGGAACAAGTCTTCTGCAAGCCCCTTTTTATGGTTGCAATTTTGCATTCATAATTCTTGTTGCTGTTTGCAGAGAAGCATTTAAAAACATTCCCTGTGGAACCTCCAACTTAATTACACTGTAAGAAGGTACGTCCATATTAGTGTAGCTTACATGGTCTAGCAAAAACCGACCAAACAAAAAGCTATGCGGGAGGTAGAAATATACACATAACTTCTCTTTTTAATTTAATTCTGTTCCCCAAAAAGGTTACTTTGGGGACGAACAAAACTACCTGTATTCCTTTTCCTTTCCCACACGTGCCCCCCACCCAACAGTATACTCCCTTTTTTCATCTTCATTGTCTTTGTGACAGGTAAGGGAAGGGCAATAGGTTTCTGCACAAACTCGCACAGTGCTCAGCTATTAAATAGGCTCTTACTAAGGATGAGTAGCAGTGCTTTTTGCTACAAGCACCCCTTACTGGAAATTGTGCTCCTGTTCGTTCATATAGGAGCATGAGTCAGTTAAGTCACTTTTAAACATTTCTACATGCAACTTGGATTGCAATGCTCAGTGTAAGAGTGTACTTGGAACGGCTGAAAGACTTTTATAAGAAATTCATCTACCCCAACAAGGATTCACTTGTCCTGTGACGTCTTTCCTTTAGTTGGTCAGAGGCACCGTCTGCAGGAGGGGCCAGGTCCGTACCACAGCGTGCCACTCAGTGTCCTTTCCGTTGGACAGCCTCTGGGAGAAACATTACAAGTCATTCATCTAAATTATTTATTTCTAACTTAGGAATATGCATTTAAATTAAAATACAGCACTTAAAGATGTTAGCCAAGAACAGAGGCTATGGGAAGTTGTTTGCTAAACAGCAGTAAGGATTTTCTACAGTTTTAAAGCCAAAAGGAAAATGTTTATTAATCTGTGTGATCTTATTCCCAGCTTCTTTGGTGATTTACTGTGTTACCATCACATATCTTCTTGATAGTGCAGTTGAGTGGTTGCAAAAATGAATATAAATACTCTCCTATTACAGAACTGCATTTAGAATATTAAGCTATTACAAGAAATCCCTCACAATTTAATAAGCAGGCCAGAGGGAGCATTCCATCCATGTCTTTGGTTTTCTGTTTAAAATTTTATTACATTGTTTGGTTATTTTTTCTAGATTTACACATAAAGATGAAAATCAGTTTCATCTGAAAAAACAGAGCTCTCCGACTGCCCGAATCCCGACTGTATAAATCACACTGTTCAGGCTGAAGTTACAAACTGTCTTCAGTTTACCTGTACCCATGGTAGAGTTCACCCACATTTACTTCTTGGGCTTATAAGACAGATTTTTCATAAATGACTTTCAAAGGAAAACAAACTAATTGAAATGTCAGTGTTTTCTTTCGTGAGTTTGGCTGTTATCTTCTGCTCACGCTAAAGGGTAGGCGTTCTTAGATGTAATTACTTGCCCCACAGTGAGAAATGGTTATAATAGCTTTGGATCCACGCGGATAATCCTTGGACCCCAGAGCTGACTTTGTATGTGCAGATCAGTGAGATAACTTTCTGATGTAAATATTTTCTGTGTTGAAATTTAGAAAAGATTTCTCTCAACAAAAAAACTCTTCAAACCTAGTTTTTCTAAATGTTTGAATATACAATTTTTTCCTAAGCGGTAGCACACTATTGCTGCAGCATTAAAGACCCTGGCAGTACCAGATGCTGGAGATAACACCAGGATGCTCCATTTTCTGCTACTTAATACAAATTGCATTTGCATGTTTACCTGAGGTTGCTAAAGAAGATTACTTGCTTGTGAGAATAGGTGATTACTAAACATCAGTAATGGGTTTCTTCTGTTGACTATCTTAGGGACTTAGGTTTTTAAAGCAAATATATTTGCTTCATAAATATTTCTGAAATATTATTGAGATGTTCATATGGTAGATGTCACTAGGGCAGCAGAGCATTGCATGAGGAGCCCAGATCTACTAAAAATCCCTACTGTGCAGCCCAGCTATGATGTTCAGTCTTTGCTTTAAAAATGTGGTGTTTTCAGTTTTAAGTCTTGTTACTTGTCCAAGATCCCTATGTGCGAGGCAAATATTTGTAAAAATATGTTTGTAAAAGTTGGTCTTCAAGCATTTTTGCTTCAAACAATCAGTCTGCATCTGTTGTCTTTTCCTGTGTTCTTAGGTTTGCTTGGGGGTGTGCACTAGCAGGTTTCTAGGCTGTATAGCCTGAGAATCTGTCCTCTGCAAAAAGTGGTAGGTTAATAACAGAAATAGGGTGTTCAGTTCTTCGGTCAGAAGGTGAGACACTTTGGAAAGTTCCAGAACATCTACATTCCTATTATGTGCTCAGCCTTATTAGTGAGAAGGAAGGTTTGCAGTTCTCGGTGAAATAATTAAGAACAAAGAGTGTTTCTCTGGTTAAAGAAATCATATTTGCATAAGGCATTTTTAAAAGCTTCATGAGCACCTGATCCATATATGTTAGATATAATTTTGTAAGGTGTTCACAATGAGTTGGTGAGTTTGTTATTGACGTTTATGAAGAAAACCTGTTGAAAATGAATAAACAGAAGAAAACCTTGTATAATTTGCTAGAGGAACAAACAGCCAACCTAGCCTTCAGTAGAGAATTACATCCCCATCTGCTTTGGTCATGGTTTTTAGATCTGAGACAGTAATCTATATCAAAGCAGAGTTCAGGGATTATTTTCTTGTTATATTAATCACCTAAATACACCATTTAATATATAACTTAATTTCTAAAATTGCTATGACATTTCTATGTGAACTTAAGCCCATAAATTTGGCAACTTTTCCATCGCTTTTGTAAAATGTGAATAATTTCAATTGCGCTAATATTCCCATCTCAACAACAAGAAGTTGTTCTTGACATAACTTTTTTTGAGCCATTTATAGCAGGGAAACAGCAGCTGGAGTATTCTGGAAGGTTTTATACCACTGCTCCTCGTGGCTGTCAAGGAGGATTGTCAGGGATCCATTTCAATCAGTGTGGGAGAAAGAAATCCACCTTGATGCCGCTGGTATAAACTAGCATGCTGGTCACAGCTGCAGCTGGCATCTTCCCAGAAATTGGTTCAAAATATATTTTTATATAAGAAACTGAACATGGACATCAATGTATATACTCCTGCATCTTTTTTTAAAAATGCTAAAATAGCAGAAGAATCAAAAGTCTCCAAGTTGAGACTGACTTTATTTGTTATCCCACACCTCTAAAATACATCTGTAGTTCTTTCCTGCGTAAACATCAAGAATCAGTGATACACACAATAATTTGTGAGAGTGTGGTCAGGTATGACCACACTAATAATTTCTAGTGTGGTCATAGAAATTGACCAAATAATTTTACAATTATTAATTGAAATTTGTAAAATTATTTGTATGTAACCTTTTTTTGAATATTCCCACACCTTTAAAATACATCTGTAGTTCTTTCCTGCGTAAACATCAAGAATCAGTGATACACACAATAATTTGTGAGAGTGTGGTCAGGTATGACCACACTAATAATTTCTAGTGTGGTCATAGAAATTGACCAAATAATTTTACAATTATTAATTGAAATTTGTAAAATTATTTGTATGTAACCTTTTTTTGAATATTTGAACTTGCTTCAGAAATGTTAATGAAGTTTTTGTTTGTATGAAATAGGTAAGTATTATTTTGTTTTGCTTGAACATAAGTATCCTATAATATCCTCCAGAGTCTGTGTAGATGAAGTCAGATAAGGCAAAAGGAGAATAAGTAAAATAGACTGTTCACATGGCTGGTAGAAGGAATAAATCCAAATCTAAGATTAGAAGGGAGAAAATGACAGTCTAGTGCAGTGGAGATAGAATGGTTCTTTATATGTGAACTCCCGTACTACTTTAGGTAGGTTAGGGTCACCTTAGTTTCACAGGCATGTAAAATTTGAGTCTCAGCATTTAGCATTTCAGTGTGGGTATAAGTCATTTATGTGGTTAGCTGATAGACTTTCACTAGCAAAAATAATAGAAATGCAAGTGAATCTCCAGGCTCTCAGAAATTAAGAGATTTGTTGAGAGTTGCAACGAACCAGATGTTTTCTAGGTGTTAAAACACAAAAACCCAACCATTTCTGTTGGCTTTGTGTTTGGCCCACTCTCAGCTGTAACCAATACAGTAACTATTGCTGCTGTTGTAAAACAGCAGCTTCTAACTTTTTTCATTAAATGCTTCACGTGAGTGTCACTTACAGGGGAGAAAGTGTGTATGCTACCAAAGGTGCTTTCCCTGCCTGCAGCTCACCGTGGCTGATGAAATAATTTACTGAGCTGGCAGCTGCTGCTTTCAGATAACCCAACAATTCCTTTGCAAGCCACTTTACAGCCAAGATCGTAAGGGACCCCAGCCGCAGTCTTAGTTGAGAGAAATTATACTTCAGAATGTAATTGTAATACTTTGAAAAGGTGCCTTTCCTGCAGCATCAATAAGCCAACATTGTTAAAAAAACCCAAACCTTTCAATATCTCATCCTAAAATAATCTTCTTAAGTGTATGTTCAAACTGGGAGAGCCAGCTAAAGCACAAAGCAGCTATAACTGTTCCTTGTTGCTGGCATTCTGCAAAACCGATTGTGGTCTGGCTTCTTAATTAAGAATTAAAGTAGGTATTACTTCAAGGTTTTAAATACAATAATTAGCGTTAGTATGCAGCCCCTCTTTCCATTGGCTGTGGTAATGTGTTATTAGTAAGATGTGTTCAAACAACACCTGAAGAGTCCGTTCCGCAGCATGTGGTTTCTGCGGGGTACTTCTGTTTGTGAAGGGGCAGAGCAGAGTTTTATTATAGCAGAGAAATTTTTTGGCACTGCACCACTTTCCCTTCGTACACACTTCAACTCTTTGTTTTTCACTCAGCTGAAACAAAACTACTATTGTAGAGCTACTGGGTATGGCTGAAAAGATGGCCTCTCTGCCTTCAAAAGGAAGGCTAAGGATTCATACCTAGTACAGTCTTCGCAGAGAGAAAGCAACACTTCACATAAACTCACTTCTGCGATAAGGTGATACTTGGTAATGGGGTTATCTTTATAGTGCTAGAGACTGAAATGCCATACGGTTTCGGTAGTTCTACATTTGAACTTTTGTTTTAGGTCCGTTTCTAAAAATACAAGGTTTAAATGACCCAGTTCAGTTGCCAATACAAACTTGTTTTTCTCTCCAGGTGGATTGTTTTCCTTGAAGCTCAGTATGTTACTGTGTGTCTGATTTGGTGTCAACTTAATATTTGAGGCAGCAGAAATCAAGCCTGATATTACATGAATTTAATTGTACAGTATCTTAAAATGGGTTGTTGCTGTACCAGTTTGCCTCTGGATGCCCGGCTGCTGGTCAGGCTGCTGTCTGTAAAACCAGAAGTAGCCGCAGTGATAGGGAGTATCACCCGTCTGTAACCCAGCCTGGGCTTACCCTGTACTGAAACGCTAAATGAGCTCATGTGCGTGTTACATACAAATAAAATCTTGTCTTTTGGTTTTTGAAGGACAGGCAATTTCTTTTCCTGTTGAGCATTCTAGATGGCTGCTGTTTAAATTAAAAGATGTTCACTAACATGATTGTATGTGTCCACACCCAGCATGTACACATTTGACCTTGGTGCTAAAGAAGCAAGAGATATTATGTTGAAAGAACGCGGTTTACTAGAGAACACTGGGCTCTGAATCTCCTATAAACACCTTTTTCTTGCAGGAATGTGTTTGCAAGCCTTTGTCGAAGCTTTCTTTTGCCTGGCTCAGAAAAAATACAAGTCCCTCCCACTTCACGAGCAAGTGAAGTCGCCAATTGATTTTTGTGAGTATCATCTGGCTGCCCTGGATGTATGTTGAAAGAATGCGGTTTACTAGAGAACACTGGGCTCTGAATCTCCTATAAACACCTTTTTCTTGCAGGAATGTGTTTGCAAGCCTTTGTCGAAGCTTTCTTTTGCCTGGCTCAGAAAAAATACAAGTCCCTCCCACTTCACGAGCAAGTGAAGTCGCTAATTGATTTTTGTGAGTATCATCTGGCTGCCCTGGATGAAAAGCGCCTGGTTTGTGGCCGCGGGATCGTGGAGCGCCGAAGTGCAGTAGTTCCTTGTCAGACGGATGGACTTCACCTTACACCAGCTGCACATACACCCCTCCTGAATCGCACGGCCACAGCTACTAAATTTGCAGATTATAGAAATCATCGCTATTAACGGTGCTAATTCACCAGGACAGAACTGAGAATTAATCCCTAGACACATATGTGTACTGCAGGGGGAGAGACAGACTCTTGCATTCCTTTATCTGATGGTCACAATTATTTATTTCATCTTTTTTTATTTATGCTCTTCAGAAAGTCTACCGCAAGCTCCCATTCTCAAATAATGATCCTGGCCATGGCTATTTATTTACCTCTCTGTTGGACCTACAGCACACCTCACGTGACAAACTGTGCTTTCATCCCAAGTGTATAGAAAACCACGTGTGAAGACAAGGACCAAAATACAGTGGGATGATAACCAGCATCATGGGATTGGTTGCACTGATCGAGAGGCACACTCATAGCAAAGGAATTACACTGCTTTGTATGCACAGGATGTATCATGGAAACCAAGTAAGGAGAGCTGCAGTCCCAAATACCAGCTGTGGACTTTGGAAAATGGAAACCTGGAATTATGTTTGTGGTCAGACTTCAGGCTTTGACCCTCTTCTTTCTGTGGCTTGGACTGTACATGTTGGAATCAATACAGATTTGGTCATTGTCTATGTACTTATTTTTTAAAGTCAATCTTCAAACACTGAAATCATATTTTGGCTTCTACTTCTTTGTACATGTCTTTGCCATGACAAGTACTGTTAATTTTTTAAAGAAAAACTAAAGATGTTTATCCTTTTACTTCCACAGAACCAATAAGCTCGCATTTATTCACAGAAAAAATTTACTTCATTAAGTCAAATTTGGTGAATCAACTGGTGGTTTTGTCTTCAGGTACTAAGCACTGCTTCTGCAAAAACCTTTACAGTGTAAAGGCCTAAGAGTTCATTTAACTTCCAGTGAAACCAATCCTGTCACTGACTTTAGGCTAAACTAATTGTATTCTAGGTTTGCTTATTTTTTACCTTCTGCGTGTTTGTTAGCCTATTTGGACCTGCAGTAACATCTAGAGCAGTGGTTTTTCTTGTCTTTGCACATATTCTTCTTTTTTTCCCTTAAATAACATATAAGTCTGTACAAATTAGATCTATATTATTTAACAGGATATTTTGTCAAGAATGCTGGATTATACCGCTGGAGTTGTACAGAGTAGTCTTTATTTTTCAAGAAATGAACCATGACTTCCATAATCACACTCTTCTTGCAGGGGCCTAAGCAGAACATGAGACTGGCTAAAAGGACATGAAAAACTTGGAACTTCAGGGCTGTTCAGTCAAATTCTTTTCGGTCTCATATTTTATTACAATAATGTATGTCTACATCTGAATTTGATTTTCCTCCTTTGTTCTATTCTTTAATGTTAATGAATCTACTTATGTTCTAGTGTTCTTCATACTGTCAAAAATCGCAAAGCTGTAAGATGGCACAGCGCCTGGGCATTTCGGTTTCGACTGGAGAAAACTACCCGAGCTTGATATCGACGTGTTCCCACGGCTGGTGTATCAGGAACGTGACCTCACAGGGAGCACACTGTCAGTGCAGAGGGAGTCCACCCATTTAATGTCATGGACTAAATGCACACACAGTATTGAGTGAGTTTTTACTTCAGGAAAAGTTTTGGAGTTTATTTTCCTGATGTTAGTTTTAAGCGGCGTCCGTTTTTCCTAAGTGGCAATCAGCAGCATGGCAATACAATGCAGAAGTCAAGCTGAGCCCACAAGAAATTGATCCCTAGCATGTGTTAATATGAGATGTGGGCATCCCTTCTTCTCTGTCTCTTTCTGTAACACCAGTAAGAGTAGTAGTAGATGATCTTCTTTAGATCAACGGCTAGACTGTTCGAAATTTTATGTATTGTACATAAGAGGACAATTGTCGACTAATGCCACTGCCCTCAGCCTTGTTTAAGTTTCGTAGAGATGATTGCAGTATGAAGATAAAGTGCCAAACTCCAAGGTCTGGCATCTGTCAAAACGAATGAAGCTGAAAGGGTCGGTTTTTTCACACTTTCATTGTAATATATTTGAAGACATTCACACGTTGAAAAATGGCTACTTCTCATTTTGTGACATCTGACATTTGTCTTGCGATTGGCAGTGTGTTACTAGAAAATAGCTTACAGTTTCTCTCATCTTGTGATTGATGTCCTGTGAAGACAGAGTTATAGAAGAGTCGGATTTGAAATGTTACAACTGCGAATGCCTTTCCTTGCAGCTTTCAAGTAGTACGATCTATGGCCTAAAATATGCAGGTTTTACTATTGTATAAGCTACCCTGATATCAGTGGAATAAATTAACTATTGTATATAATGAACACTGGTAGGATCTCTATTTTGGAGATCTTTACAGTCTCTGGATCTAATACAGATTTTTATAGCCTGTGCATGCACAGGCTGATGCAGTATGCCCTGTTTATCTCCCACTTCAAATATGAAGGGTCCCTTGTAGAATAGTCAAAATATTCATTATCTGCCTTAGTAATCCAGTGTTCATGTATTTATATAATTGGAAAATTGAATGCCATATTATTCTCAGGGGGAGGAGGGGGATAAAACAGGAGTGTACTTTAGAGACTTAATGACAAAGTCACATTTCTCTTCCCTGCCATCTAATGCAATTTCCTCTGAATATTTTTTAGCATCCAAAGCAATTTCACATAGCCTTTAAGTTACCCATCTGCGCACATGCAAAAAAATGACCAGAGACACTTTATTCAGAATATGAATGCTAATGCACTGATAATCCCCGAGATACCTTTCTAGCAGAAGAAACAATATATGAAAGGTAGTAGGTGGTTTTTTAATAGTACTTTTCTATATATTCTTTTCAGAGAATAATACAGCACTCCCTGTTCCATTTATGACATATGATATGAACATTGCATATCAGTGAAATCTTTCTCGTTAGCAGACACACTGGGTCTGGTATTCCTCGTTGGTATAAATCAGAATAAAACACTTTAACATCTAAGGAAGATTTGAGGCAAGTGAGTCCAGAATTTCAATCCAGACATCCCCCTTCCCTGCAGGCTTGTGTCTAGCCCAAATGTGCCTAAACTTGGTGACTCCTTGTTCAATTTTGAGTTCTTTCTCTGCACAGAGCTGTTTGTAGGCTAAGTCACTTGAAATTTGTCTTCTGCCTAATCTTGGTTGGGCTCTTGAAACTTAACTGCCCTCTGCCCAAATGCCCAACTCGCCCCATTACAGCTGTATGTTTTGGGAACATGTAATGTACACCAAGCAGGTCACTTCACTTGCCACACACTTCTAGCTACTTTTCAAGCACAGCTGGAAGGGGAGGGACTCAGCTAACGACACAGTTAATGCTCAGGTGAGAGACCCCAGTCCACCTGCTTCAGTGTTCGTCTTCTCAGCTGGAGTCACCTGTGCCGTGCAGGTGACTCCTTTCTACTGGCTTTACCCCTCTGGTTGCATTAGTCTTGTGTTCAGCCTGTCATCAGGAGGTCGAAGCATCCTTCCCAGAGATGGGTGACAGCAGTTTGGAAACCCTGGTGATGAGGAGGGATTTAGTCCTCCTCCCGCCTGAGCCCCGCGCAGTTCACCGAGCAGGGTAGGTGCATATGCTCATACTCTGGGTGCTCAAGTTGGAATGGGCTGGAGCCTCTGTGGTGATTTTGGGGGTTGACAAGGGCATTGCTCCTGCACTGCTGGATGTGGGAGCCCTCAAGGGCTACACTAAGGTTGTAGGAGGAGCAGCTGCCAGCTGGGTCCTACCTTGATGGTGCCTCAACTCTGTTGCATTTGCTTACTACAGTACGAGCTATGAATGACTCTCATAGTCACCGTCACAGCTCCTCGTTTCTAGCCGGCACTGTGTCTGACCTTATTCTGATCTCCATCTGATGGACAGTGACAATCTGCTTCTAAATATTACCCCGTTCCCTCTAATTTGTTTTCCATCATGCTTTGCTGTGTTTCCTCCTAATTCCACAGTTTTGCTTCTCGGCTTGCCTAATAAACTGATGTGGCCAATTTGGCTGAATCCATTAGTTCAGCTTCCTGTGTTGCTGTACAACCGTTTCTGGAAGATGCATATCTTCATTTTGAAGGTGAGTCTATCCTGCGTCGTCTCTTTGAGGTGTTACCATGCGTCAAGCTTTGCTGAGTCGATGCATCAATTTGAGCTTTCCTGTGTGCATGGTTAGAGGACTGATCTCTGCAGCCTTGTTGGGTGGGTGCCGGCTCTCCAGCCCCTCTCCTCTCAGTCCCGCTGCCGTGGACACACTGGTTTCCAGCGCGTGGGCTGACTTTCAGTTTCACAGAGCAGAAATGCACGATAAATCACTACTTGGTCAGGTCCAGCCCTAGCAGCAGGAGCCCCTGTGGGCTTCCCGGAGCACCCCCACGCAGGGAAATCTCCACGGCCACGGGGGGAGCGGGGCCTGGCTCCCTGTGCCTGCCAGCACCCGCAGGGGCTCTGGCCCAGCACTTCCAGAACCTTCCCAGTGGTGGCCGCCGTCGTGCGGAGTGGCTGTTTCCCACCCGGGGCAGCTGCTGGGGAATAATGTCCACGGGGGGCGGCGGGGGAAAGGTCGGCCCGGCCGGAGGAGGGGACCGGTGGGGATCGTCCCTCCACGGGAGGTTTGTCATTGTAGAGTCGTGAGTGAAGTGGGTCATTTTCATAACAATTGCTGCTGTTTATCAATGAGAAGGAAACAGATTGTGGAGCCTTGTGCGGGCTTTACACCGTCAGCAGCTCGGGGAGCGTGCCGAGGTGCTGCTGCACAGTTCGTTAGTTTGAAACTAGGGAGATGAGGTTGAAGTAATTGGCACATCTGTTCTGGATTGTGCTTTTTTCCACCTCTGATCTGCATCACCTGCAGAGGTTGATCAAAGCCTCTTGCAGCAGGGAGCTGTGTGCGGCATCACCCTGTGAGGTGGGGACGCTGTGGGGACGGTGCGGTGGCATGAGCGGGTGGATCTTCTCCCTTGTGAGTTCCTCATGATCACTTGAAGTCAGGGCTGTGCTTACCATTGGCTTTGCTAGTACTGTTCAATTGCTATTAAATGGACCCAAATTCAGTAGTGATTTATAAATATTGTTAGGAAATACATCAGTAACAAATCCTCGACAGATTATGCTAAGAGACTTGGTGTAGATGTGGAGATGAAGAACCTGGGTCTCAGTTGTTCCCCCCAGCAGTTGGGTGGGTGTCATGGTTTAATCCCAGCCGGCAACTAAGCCCCACACAGCCGCTCGCTCACTCCTCCCCGGTGGGATGGGGGAGAGAATCGGAAGGGTAAAAGTGAGAAAACTCGTAGGTTGAGATAAAGACAGTTTAACAGGTAAAGCAAAAGCCGCACACGCAAGCAAAGCAAAACAAGGAATTCATTCACTCCGTCCCATCGGCAGGCGGGTGTTCAGCCATCTCCAGGAAGGCAGGGCTCCATCACGCGTAACGGTGACAAACACCATCACTCCAAACATCCCCCCCTTCCTTCTTCCCCCAGCTTTATATGCTGAGCACGACGTCATCCGGTGTGGGATATCCCTTTGGTCAGTCGGGGTCAGCTGTCCCGGCCGTGTCCCCTCCCAAATTCTTGTGCCCCCCCAGCCTCCTCGCTGGTGGGGTGGGGTGAGAGGCAGAAAAGGCCTTGACCCTGTGTCAGCACTGCTCAGCAGTAACAAAAACATCCCTGTGTTATCAACACTGTTTCCAGCACAAATCCAAAACAGCCCCATCCTAGCTACTGTGAAGAAAATTCACTCTATCCCAGCCAAAACCAGCACAGTGGGAGTGCAGGCAGGAGGGCTGCGGAGGCCCTCAGGATCGCAGGGAGCTGAAAGAGCGAGTGATCTTTAGTGGAACATAAACGGATCTTTAGAAAAGTGATTTTTTTTGTTCCCCCCTCCCCTCTGCTCACCCATTGCCCTCTGTGTTTTAATCAAAGAACTTCATTTATTTTTGTTGAAACTCTTGTTCTCACAGCTTTTAACTTCTGCGTTTTTTACCGCTGCTTTTCCCTTTTATCTTCCTACTCTTCCCTCCCTTATTGTCGTGATGAAGGAGGGGAGAACTGAACTCTCTCACCTTCCCTCTCCCAATCCTGCTTTTTTTGGTATTGTCAAGAAGTTAGATTATTGAACTCTACAGTTCTTACTGATGTTACCAGTTTTGGAGAGGGTTGCTTTGCAGGGAGGCTTTGTCTGAAGACCTGGGAGCTCCTGGCAGCAGCCCAGCTCCCTGGCCAGCCCCGGCCAGGGAATCCGGCAGTTCAGCTCATTCTGCACCCATCTCCCCTGGCGATGCCTTGTTCTCTGCTCTGCAGCCGCCTGCGTACCCGGGCATCTTGCGTTGTGTGTGGCGGCAGAGCAGGGGTGGAGGTCAGCACAGACTTTGCACTACCTGACGCCGATATCTGCAGCCTTTTGGGTACGTGGGTGAATCTGCCAGCGTCTGCCACTGTCCAGTTTTTGTGGCTGTCCCAATTTCTGTGACAAACAGGTCTGTGCATGGTTACCTTAGTCTGTATTATCCACGCTTACAAAATGACTGTAAAAATCTCTCAGTAGTGAAGCTGGCAATTAAAGCAATGGTATCGAGTGCTGCCTTTTAAAAGGGTTTAGGAATAGCTGCTTTCTCTGCTCTTGTGGCCGTGCTTATTTGCAGTCGCACACTGCCATCCCTGCAGCAGCTTCCTTGTAGCCTTTCTTGCCAGCTCACTGTCAGAAACAAGCCTTGTGCCCATCCCTCTGCCTTGCTAACCTGCAGCTCATACCAGCCAGTTCTCCCAGTGCCTGGGCAGCTGCCTTGTGCAAAGCCTTCGTGTGCCAGTTTGCTGCCAGGAACAAGCTGCGGGCGAGCTGGCCAGGCCGGGAGACTCCAGAGGTGCTCTGTCCTGTGCAGCTCAGCTCATGGGCATCAGCTTTATCCTGATTAGTGGTCCTGTCTTGGATGTGATGGGATCGACCTGTCCCTGTATATGGGCTGGGATTGTTAACTGTGAAGTGCTC